ACGGTGTTTCTAATTTCATCATCTGCACCACAGCGCTATAGAACCGCTTCCTTTGTGTTAAAGTACTGTGCCATCCTCAGGCTGTTTGATTTACAGCTGAAAGCGGGAAAATTATGGGAAAGTGAATGACTTGCAGCAAAGCACCCTGTGGATTTTAGTTAAAAAGTTACTAAAGTCTTAACCAAGTAAAGACCGTGTCAAACGCATTCGCTTTTAAAAAATCTCACTGGACTGTAAATTTTAACATCAGAACAAGCAGAACTTGTAAAGAGCATGGCAAAGATTTCAAGATGTGACGAGTACCTCTTGAGGAGGTTATTGGGAGGAGGAGGAGAAAGAGTCGGCAGAGGGCACGAGACAAATATACTGCCTAAACTAAAAGACACAGGTGCATACAGGTCTTTTAAAAACAATGAGAGGTTTGCTCAGGGTTACCTCTCACAGTCACTGCAGCAGATTCTCCTTGTAAACACTTTTGAATTCGTAGCTGATTGTTGCAAGTTGTGTCAAAACTGTAACTTTAAACACACTCACACAAATAGAGCATCTTACAGGATCTGGAGATGTAATTATTTATCTCCCACATTCAGTATGAATAAACATCTATGAATCTCATGAGAAATAAGAGAAAAACAAAACTCCTGCCAACTCCACGACTTGCATGGGAATGATTAGGCTTTTCTCAGTTTCTTCACTACCAAAGTAATCCAGTGATAGTTTTGTATCTACAGTTACACTGCAGAGCCGCCAAGTGCAGATATTTCATTCTTTTAATGTTGCCAATTTGCCAAACAAATGTAGGCTAACACAACACGGCTCAAGTTGTAGTTGTAGTAATTTTTAAAGTATTGAGGTTCAGAAAAGCAATAAAGCGTAGACTATACCAATACCATGACTTTTTATATTCCTGAAGTTAGAGAAAGAAGGGTGAAGTGGTTTGGATGTACGGAGGAGGGATAGTGGATATAATGGGCAAAGGATGTGTAACAGGGAGCTGCCAGGCAGGAGGAAGAGAGGAGGAATACAGAGAAGGTTCATGGATGTAGTGAAAGACGAAGGCTGGTGTGACAGAAGAAGATGCTGGTAATAGGATGAGATGGAGGCAGATGATCCAGTGTGGTAACTCCTAAAGGGAGCAGAGCAAAGAAGAAATTCTGTGGACAAACTATGTGAGCTAAGAGTCATTATTACTAATGCCATGCTCTCTAATTCTTTACAAAACTTGATTCTAAGACACTTATCTGATCTAAAGCACCTGGATTAAGCTGCATACTGCATGCAAATTAAACAGAGTATCACATTTTTCATTCTCATAAATAATTTTACAAGTAAAATTTGTACATCAGTACGGCAAATGGATTCCAAGCCTGAAAACAATAGACAATGGGACACCTATTTTTGTATTCTCAGTGAACTGCTCAGCACATATGGAAATGGGCTGTTGCATAATAAAATTGGTCTTTGCCATACTTTTGCCCCAGCAGAACAAAAGCTTTTACTCACAACAGGTTGTTTAGTCTGTACTGTGCTCAGCAGGCAAGAGCGTCTCTGAAATCAGAATATGTTGCGGGATTATTTTGGGGGGCTAAAATATTTGCAAACCATCAGATGAAATGCTGAAATATATTCAAAGTGACATCTACGATAAAGGCGTCCTATTTTGTAGTAACATAAAAACAGTAGTAAAACGTTTCCTGGTTATTTTCCTGAGGGTTTTTCAAATTAATGACTTCCCTTCAACCCACCACAATCTGAAAAAGAAAATCAATTTATGTGCCGTTCTCGAAGACTTTAGAGTGAAAAGTTTATATGAAGCCTTTATAATACAAGAATCAATTTTTTCAACAATTATTTAAAAAAAAAAAGAAAAGAAAAGAAAAATCCATTATTCATTTCAGGTATGTTTTCAAGAAAATATGTCAAAAGATTCTCTGGCTGTGTGAAGATGTGCTGTTTTTCTCAGAACTTATCCTGTTAAGAAAATATGCATTGGATATTTTGTGGGTGAGTTTACATGACAAAAAAAATGTAAATTTTAGGGGGTCCGTGTTGGAAACAACCATTTTTTGACATAACATAAGCTGAACGTTAATCAATTAATCAAGAATGAAATAATAGCAACAGTTTTAAAGTGTTTAAAAGGTCGGATCATACGTCATGACAATAACTAATAACAAATTAGCAACAATGTGACTGTGATGGATCATGTGTTTTATGCAGGTTTCATCTCTGGAAGTTGACTTTCATATAATAAAAGATAAATATAACTTGGAATACTGAATGCCTGGAACGTAGATAATTGATTTTAAAACTTCAAATAAAAAAAAAAATAGTACTGATGTTTACAACATCCAGTTTAATGTTGCACAGATACATGTTGTACTCTGCCTCTGCTTCTTTTCTTTCTTCTGAGTGTTTCATTGATGTGACTCAGAGACCACAAGGAAGTGACTGTGTTGTAATATGAGTTCAGGTGCAGGGCTGAATAGGGGAAAGGGTGCATGTGAAATTTTGTTGGGGTAAAGACTCGGGGGTGGGGGGGGGGGGGGGTTGTGCACGTGTGTGTGTGTGTGTGTTTGGAAAGCTGGTGTTGACACAGACACAGCCGCTCCATTGTACTCCCCCATCTCCAGTCAGTATGTTTGAGGAACGCCTCATCGCTTGGCTCGCTCTAATCTCTGCTGGAACCAGAAACCTGCGGCGGGAAGGCCTCAGCCCAGAGGACTTTGTCAGCACCGGGATAAGAGAGGCACAAGTCAGGGAGAATCGCTGGGATGGTTACTACTGAAAATTATGGAGAAGTCAATTACAGATTGCTCGTGAGCTGCTTTAAATTTGCAGACAGTAAAATAACCCAGGGGATTGCAATAAATCCGCTAAGTAATCCTTTGATTTAATAGCTTTTGATTTATTTAGGTCTTTTTCAATATGAAGTTTGAATTTTAATATAAAGATAAAACAAGTTAACTTGCTGAACTTAAGGAGACAAATCAGAACATTTTAGTGATCATCGTCCACCGTTTTTATCACCTCGTGTGTTTCATCTCCATTTAAATGTGTCTCTGTTTTTCCACTATTTTAAATGTAGTGGTGCTGATTTTTATAAGCCAGCTTTTTAAATATTCACATTTACTCTAGAACATGTAATTCTGACTGCATTGAAAGGGATACTGAAAAAGGCAACACAGACTGACCTGGGAAAATCAGTCCAGAACAATTAGCACAGAGCAGTTCAATGGCAGTGGAACCAGTTAGGCCTAATGAAAAACATTTTGGAGGGGAGATTGTGGTTTTGGCCTGAGCCGCAACAACCTGTAACTTGTTGTTGCTCAGTTTTTAATCATGGCAGACTGCGCAGCGACAGTCAGCATCTGGCATTTGCTTGAGCAAAGGAACTTGGAAGGAAGGCCACAGGATGAATCTGAGTGACCTAAAGCTGACTTTGCTCTTGGCTTTTTTCATGAAAAGGGTTTTCTTTTTATTTCAGCTGAAAGCAATAATCACAAACATTTAGTTATAAGAGGAACTTTGAAATTAGTCAGTATTGTCCATAAAAATGGACTTTTGAGTGCGCTGTTGTGGAAAATTCGTTTGAGAAGGGATGAAAAACGCGTGACATTTTTTGTTTTTAAATGGTAAATGGCAATTTGCTAAAGGAATTTTTGTGCTTTACATGACAGTGATGATATTGATTATGTATATTTTTTTTATACTGATAGGTCTGATCAGTGGACAGTTACTATAGAAACCATAAACAGCCTCAGTGTGGAGAAATGAAAAAAAGATTCATATGATGTATTTTACAGTTTCTTTGAGAAATTTCAGAAGTTAAACCGACAGAAAAAACAGGTATTTAGCCCCCGGCCTCTCTGGAAATGTGATGAAAGCTGAAATGTTTTCCTAATTTCAACCACTCTTAAAGATTAATTATTCAATTTAAGAATTGTGGCTGATAATGTACAGTAGACTGGGTTTTATCCTCGATGAGACTGAGGTGGCCCCCAGGAAAGCGATATAAGTGGATTCATTTCAAGATGCCTGTTCCTCCAAAGACTTTATTAGATTTAGTTAATGAGAGAGCAAGGCAGGCAGGCTGGCTAAGCGCAGGTTGGGGAGCTGGAATATAATTAAGCCGTGAGTCAGATGATGCCACTGTTACACACTTTGATTAAAAACACGTTCAACAGCTAATCTTCAACAAATTAAAGCGGTTACATCGTTTGGCACGGTCACCTTTGGTTCTCTCCTCAAAAGAAAGCTTTTCTTTCTGACTCTTCCGTTCATGCCACCTCTACACCTTCTACCTCCCACCTCTACACCCATTGTATCCTCCCTCTCCATGTCCGCACCCCAATTCTCCACGGTAAGAAGGTGTAGCGGCATGGCTGGTCAACTAGCCTTGTCTGTCTGTCTGAGATGTAGTTAACCCTTGTGATTTTTATGTCTTCCATATGCCCTGCTGGGGCCTTTATGGCTGGACTGTGTAACGCAGGAGAAGCTTGTATATTTCCAGGCCAACACACATAAGTCTTCTTGTCTGAGCTATAATGAGTGTTAGTATAGATTTCCTGTGGCTCAAACACTAGGCTTAATTGACCTGAACAGCTCTGAGTGACTTGGCACCTCCCGTCTCAAGCCTTCCCTCCTCCCTCACCCCCCACCAAGACCTTTCTCTGGGACAAAGAGGCTTTTGTCCCCAGGCCTGCGCCACGGCGCTCCGAACCTTTGTTGACTGTTTCTGTCTGACAGAGCAAATAGATCTGGCCTCCTTTTGTTTATTGTCATTTTTTGAAGTTTGAACAAAGTTTATACAAAGCCCCATTTTCTGACGCTGTTTGCTGCCTGCAGGGGGAAAACAGAGAGGGAAGAAAAGAAATGGGTTTATTGTTTGTTGAATTTTGACTGTCTGCTGCTGTCTGACCTCTTCTCATCTCTCCCTCTTCTTTCTCCCAATCTCTTTCTCTTCCCTTCCTCACTCGCTTTCCCTCAATCACTTGCAGGGATCATATATACACAGTGGACACAGACACTGCCAACAGTGAAGAGATATTTTTCAGTAAGGTGAGTGAGACGTCTGCCTCTTTGAGGATGTGTTGTTCTCTGCATGATTGACAGCGTAACCTCACTCTGACTGCAACAGTGTGTACGTATGTGCATGTGGGTGCATTTGTGTGCCTGCCAGCAGTCTTACTCACCCGCTCACCGATTGGACCTGGCGCGTTCGCAATGGTGACCCTGTTAAGAAGATTATTTAATCAATCAGCTAGCTTGCGTCATCCACGCTCATCAGTGGGACAGCTAGAGGTCTGATGGGTGCGTAACGGAAGCTGAGGGGACAGCGGAAGAAGAGCGAGAGGGAGGAAGGAGAAGGGGGAGGAGCAGGAAATAGAGAGCGAAAGCAATGGCTAGATGAGTAGCAGAAGAAAGACAATATGGATGCAGAGGTGAAGAAGATCCCATTGTATAGTTTCAAATTATTCCAAAAAGGGGCCTCATATTTACATAGGGCCTCGACTGTAATAACCCACTCTTTATTCCATTTCAACCACTCTTTGCTGGCATCGCATGCCCTAAACATAATGCATGCAAACAGAATTCAGACAAGGCCATTCTCGTGTATGCAACAACCAGCAATCCCTCCACCTCATCCACTTCAATGTCAGAGCCTGGCAAGTGGGTCTTAATGAGAGCAGGCTGCAGATGAAAGGCTGGTGGGAGACGCGCAGATTGATTGATGACTGAGGGTCTTTAATCAGTGGCTGAGCTCCAAACATGTTGTACAACAGCGGCAGGTACATAGTGGTCTGAACCTGCGGCTGGGAGCTGACCCTCAGGTGACACAGGCCAGGGACACACGTGGTGTGTATGTGTGTGTACATTTGTGTGCATGGCTATAACTTAAGTATAATTACCCGTATGTCTGTTTGTAGTCCAGTGACAAGTAAAAGAGGGCTGATCCACAGGTCAAGGCAGTGCGTGTGTGTGTATGTGCACACGCAAGGATGGCAAGCCTATTAATCCACAGATTTGTCCACGGATCTGTCCTTGGACAGTCTGTTCTGATCCGGGGTCAGTATTGTATTTCCTTCCCTCTGGCAGAAAATTCGATGTTCAAGGAGGTAAAATGATCTCCAAACAAACTTAGAATAAAGTTTGCCTCAGAGCAGGTGCCTCATGAGAGAAATCAATGATGTAGAATCTCAAATGATGATTATTGATCTTAATATAGATGGGTTATTGAGCTCCATAATGCTGTCTGTTTTTTCCTCCTCCCACCTCACTGTTTAGCCTGCTTTCTTTGTGACTCGCTATTTTTCTCTTTAGCTTCAGTTAAACTTCCATCTTTTTCTACAGAAAATGACATGGAAGTCCAGACAGGGAGATGTGGACACTTGCAGAATGAAAGGGAAGCATAAGGTAAGGAAAACACACACTACAACATCATTTGTAGAGCAAACGTCACTCGAGTTTTTCCAATTTTTTTTGTCAGTCACACACTGTGCATGGCAGACAACCTGTAACTGATGTAATTGCGCACAGTCTCTGTTTCATTGTCTTGCTCTCTCTCTCTCCCTCACACACACAGACACTCTTAACACACATTTTAAAGACACAAGATCCTGAAGGTGCAATAACACACTTCTTGCAGTTCATATAACCTTCTGCTGTCAGAATTTATAGAGCATATCAGTGGGAATCTTCATATCTCATGGTTGTATAACTTTATTTTTTTCCTGAACTTAATAACACTTTCATTATTGTTTGAGAGGACGTTAAATGGCACATTAAAATCTCCTGCGGATTTGCCTTTATGTGCCGTGATCAAATGCATGTCACGATACTGTGTTTGTTACATATGCCTCTCCCTGCTCACCGCGTGCCACATGCTGCACTTCAAAAGACAGAAAAGCAAAAAAATAACAGCCCACATGTGGCTACAGATACAGATGTCACCATGGACTTCCTTTCTTCTTTTTCTCTTTCTTTTTTTCCTGCCCTGCTCTCCCCGAAGGATGAGTGTCACAATTTCATCAAAGTCCTTCTGCAGCAAAATGAAGACACCTTATTTGTTTGTGGAACAAATGCTTTCAACCCCTCCTGTCGGACCTACAAGGTAGGAAAACACGCACACACACGAATGACTATTTTGGTGCTCTTGCCCACTTTTGTTTTATCTCAGTGACATTTTTCACATCTATCATTTTGCTCTTTTTTTTTGCTCTTTCACAAACACACGCACATAACACACACTTATAGGATTTTTGACCCCAGCCATGTGAGAGTTTAGAGAGGGTGGGCTATGGAGCCACGGACATAGATGGATGACTTTCACAACTCAGCAGGCCGTCCTCCTGTGCCTTTACCTCCAGGTGTACTTTGACAAACTCAGTTCAGAAGCAGAGAAAACTACTCAATCTTACCTGCTTTCATGCATGCTCGCACATTGCCAGATCTGTTTTAACCTTTTCCTGAAAACATATTTCCGGCCATATTCAATTTATGGAATAGCATCAAGATTCCTTCAGGAAAAGTAAAACCACGAAAAGAAATGGTGCATTTTATTTCCTATGAGTCACTAAGGAGAGCACAGGTACACATTAAGATTGACTTAGTGCACCAAAATAGAGATGCCAATAAAAAAGCAGATGCAGAGAGATGATTAAAGTTTGGCATACGTGGAAGCAGATGAACAAACGTTAAAAGCAGATGGGCTGTGTTCAAATTGAACCTTTTTTATTTGCTGTCGACATAAATCTGATGTTTCTGATGCTCCAGTGTGAAAAAGTGAACATAATTGCCATTATAGTCTTAGTTCGTTCAGCTTGGCTGACCTACTAAGTTTGCTAAGCAATAGTTGAAAATATTGGAAAATATTAAAGTTTTAATTGGTATTTGTCTAATTTTTTTTTAGCATACTCTATGACAAATCTTCTGGAAACCAACCAAAGATCAGTATCAGAGGTTTAATCATAGTAATACTGTACAAATACTATGCACTGCTGTCCGGACAGACCCAGTATGAAGGACACCTTACAGAAAAGGAAGAATGTGGGACAGTGGGACAGTCGGATAGACATGCAGACAGTAATAGAGACAAAAGGACAGGGAGACTTAGTAGCAGTCCTGTCCTGAAGGGTGTTGTTCTGTGGTTTATAAGGATGTGTTGTGATGGTCAAAGCACACAGAGATGTTATCTAGGTGGCCTGTGGGGAAAACGCCCCTGCTTTGGTTCAGCAGATCTGCTTACCAGAAAAGCAAGACCTCTTCGCTCCACTGCCTTTGTGGTTCAGCATGCTAAGCACACAAAGTGGACGTCTTTCAATTCACTGACTCCTCCAATAGGGAAAGTGGAATTTATGTCTCTGCATTTATCAGGCATGGTTAGCTTTTATAGCGCCTCCGGTTATGGTTTCAAGGTTTGTGTTTTAGCTGTTGCTGCACTGACGTCGCTGCTAGTCGGCTGAAGTTAATGGGAAGGGAGGGGAAGTGTTGTACATCAGTGTGAGGTTTGGTAAAAGAACTCCACATTTACACACAGCCTTATATGCACCTGTGGTATAAAAATGATGCTTTTTATTGATCACTTATGTTAAAAGTCAAACTTCAGTCAATAACGGTATGATAAAAAAGGCAACTATTGTTCTTTAAAGAACACCGATCATTAAAATTCATGTTTCGTATTTGCTCAGTCCCTGCCCTACCTTACCCAAGTGAATTTATGTGTTTGCAACTGCCCTTCCACACCTACTAAAACACTCATGTTTAGTTGAATAAAATAGCTGTTTTAGCCAGGAAACAACTGAGTTATTACCAAAATCATTACAAGAAAGTCTTGACACCTTTTAAAATGCAAGAAATATGACTGATTATGGGCGCAAAGATACAAATCCACACGAAACACATATACAAGAAAATGTGCACCCATGCAAACACTGACTGTGAACTGTGTACATTTTAAAATAGGCATCTCTCTCTCTCTCTCACACACACACACACACACACACACACACACACACACTGTACTGCTGGCAGGCTGGCAAACTCTCTGGGCAGATACCAGACCTTTGATGGCGTGCTGGGCTCATCCACTTCGCTTGGTCAGAAGTGTATTTGTGTGTGTTTGTGTGTGCGTATATGTGCTTGTGGTTAAATCCACCTTGGCCACAGTTTGCCTCTCCATCTCCCCAGTGTGACAGCACTGAAAAGAGCTTCTGTTTCGGGGCCAGCCTCATCCCACATTAATCAACAGCGCTGCGAGGGCAAGCGGGAGGGAAAGGGAGGCATGGAAGGGGAGAAAAGGTGGCGGAAGACAGAGGAGGGAGACAGAGGGGGCAGGGAGGGCAACCGCCCAAACCAGCAACACCTCATGTTGGTTTTTGTGTTGTTTTTTCCATCAACCCCCTGCCTGGTTACCTCTGATTTTACCTGACTTTGAGTTTCTGACATTTATGTTTTTTTTAAACAATTTTCTCTCTTTATTAGCTGCTTCTTCAATTGGTGGTGTCAACATAAAAAAAAAAACATGCACTGTCACAAATGCATTCATATAGAAAAAACACAGGCAGACACCTCGGCAGCATGGCACAGCCCTCTCCCTTAGCACCACACAGCACCCAACTCCCTTTTTTCTTCTATTCATCCTCCCTCCTACCGCTCCTCTTCTCCCGCCAGCCTTAATCCCCCCCCTCCACTTCTCCCACCACTCCGCCATCTTTCCCTCTGTTGCTTTCTCCCTCAGTCACTCCCTTGCTGTGTTGTAATAATAAACACTCCGTCCAGCTGGGCTGATATATGACTGGAGTCAGTTTCATCGCCTGTTGCCGGGTGAAGCAGGGGGAATCAGTGGGGAGTCTTGGAGGCAGTGACTCCCAGGTGATGCGTCTTAGACCTGATACCGGCTAACCGAGGTGTACTGGGAAATTTCATCTCTTCTTCTTTGCATTTGAAAAGACGAGGTGAAAATGCTTCCATGCATGCCATTTTTTG